CCCCAAAACCCCAAAACCCCAAAACCCCAAAACCCCTTATAATCTAGATATTATTGAAAATTACTACTGCAGTCTTCTGAACTTATCAGAAGATTTAGAGTTCTTCTCCAATAGCCTTGTGATCGTCGCAGATGTCCTATTACGAGACAGAAGGCTCATTACAACGTTAGATTTTGGAATCTTAGGACGCCGATTTTTAAGAACATGCATCCGGAAAGCCTCCGCTCTATAGGGAGACCGGCTCTTCCGGTTCAGAGCCCTTCCCTCGTTAGTTGAGTTATGATGACGCATCATTATTTCCTTCTTATGGGAAGGAACCTCTCTCTTCTCATTCAGAACTCCTTCAATGCTCTTATTTGTAGCATAACTTTTGGTGATCTTTGACTTGTTGTGGATACTAAATTTGTGAATATTAATCTTGGCTTTTCTGATAGCGTTGAGATAGTTCTTCAAACTTTTCTTTTGCGACATCTGTTGCCTAGTCGTCTTTAAATCAGTTTTCCTATAATGATAAGTCTCCATCTTACTGGCCTAAATTAACCTGCTGGTGTTGTTGACGATGGGCGCGGTACTCTCTCTTAGTCGCTCTTGGCTGGTAGAGGACCTTCTGCTCCATCTGGGGGTGCAAGCGGACTGCATTTCTTCCAGTAGAATTAGCTGCTCTTGTCTTCTCCTGAGTCTGCCAGTGGGTCTTCCTGGAAGTAGCAAAACCTGTGAGATGAATGACCACAACTTACTTTGGCCAAACCTGATATTTCTGTACTTATTTTGTATACTATAAAGTCTGCTGGGATATCTTTTATTCGAGAGGGACCTGAGCCTAGCTTCGCTCTTAGGGATGCTCTTTATGTGTTTCACCTTTCTTTTGGACATAAACTTCTCATAATTTTTGATATGATAGGGCCTTGCCTTCGTGAACTTTTGGATGCTAAGAGAGTTAGCAGAGTTGTTTCACGGCCCTGGCGTGTAATTGTTCATTTTAGAGGGCTCAACATCATCTTTATTATTTTCAGATGATTTATTTATCATTGTAAACTGAGCTTATTGTGAGGATGGTGTCTATCCGTTCAAATTCTTCGTCGTCTGCGTTAAAATCAGATACGTCTTCGATTTTGTTTTTGTGGGGTTTTTCGATAATTATTGGGTTCTCACTTTGAGCCATGATGAATAAAGGATGCTCTTGAGATGGCTTATTTATTATTTTTCTGATTTGCTTTGGCTATGTTGGTTGAGTTATTTTGATACTTTTTGGGGGTTATTTGTGTATTGTTTGGGGATTTCCTCTAATCTCACCTCGGATGATTTCTCTGAGAGAGGTAAGGAAGGTCGCCTCATTGTTTGGGCGGCTATAATAGTAATTATTAAGTTCTTTACTATTCAGCCTGTCAATAATTCTTTGTTGATTCATTTGAATTTCAATATATTATTTATCTAATGGGGTTTTGGGGTTTTGGGGTTTTGGGGTTTTGGGG